GAAAGTTTGTTTAAATGTTAAAGATTAAATGTAATTTTATTTGTTTTACAGTTTAACCGGCATCAGCGTCAAGCTGCGCTGTGTATTTTCATCGGGCAATAAACAACAACAGCAACAAACTTCATTCTTATGTTCTTTGTAACAAATACTATTAAAAGAAAATGAGAGTTTTATTCACTGTTGAGTTGTGATAAGTCTTGAATTCTGAGCTCTCCCCTTTTCTGACAGGGAATTTCCATATATAATTGAAATGCATTATGGACGATGTAGTTTATGGTCAGGGCTATTCAGTCAAATTGCTCAGGGGGACACAGTTACTTAAAGCCAACAGATCAGGGGCATGGCAACTATTATTACCTTTCACTTTTTAAATCTGTTTATTTTCTTGAATTGAATCATAAGTTTACATTTTATCATTGATAAATAAAAGTAAATTTTCATACTAAATTAAGTTAAAAATAAAAATAAAAAACAGGGAGTTGGCTAGACACAAGTCATGTGAGCTGTATTTGGCCTGCTGGCTGTGAGTTTAACACATATAATGTAGGTGATACTAAGTAAAGCTGTCTGTCGATGTGCCCAGGGCAGCTGTGGCTGTACTGCCATCAGTGTGTTAATGGATGAATGTCTGAAGTGTAAAGCGCCTTCGGGTCCACGTGGACTTGATAAGGTGCTACATAGGTTYAAGCCTTTTACCATTTTGATTATTACAACATGTTCAGTTTGAGCCGTAAAATATAAAATATACACACCATAAAACGGCAACATTTGTGTATGCTAGACCAGGTAGAATCCAAGAATTTGTGCTGCCAATGCCAAATTCTGACCTTACCATCTGCACTGTGGTTCAGCATAAACTAAAATTATTCAAATGACACGCTAAATGTCTTTAGCTGTCCAACATTTGTGGGCTTGCATCCAAAGCAGCCTCAGATTCCAGATCTTGAGTGACTGAAGTGGAACCTGACGTGTTCTCCTGCTGTTGTTGCCTATCTCACTTGGTGATTTATTGCCTTCTGGGATGTATTTCTGCTCATCACAATATACAGAAGTAGTTACACAACTCCGTGTAACCAGTCTGTAAACTTTAAAAAAGGGGTATATTCAGTTCTAACTGTTTATCATAAATGTTTTGTTGTAAATACTGCAAACCTGTCAGTGGTTTTACTTGTTCTTTTGGAAAATGTAGCTTCCTCTGTGCTTGTGGGACATACTGTACATGTGAGTGAAAACAGACAGATAAATGTATTCTGAACTGTAATCTATAATTTATGATTATTATGACAAGAAGGGGGTTGCATAAAATATTGAACTTAAATTCACTGCAGTGTTTCGGTGGACAGAATGCAGTTACTGACTAGAGATTGATTCTAAAACAGCCCATTTCTAACAACATCAGAACTAGGGCTGGGCAATAAATCAGTAACACTATATATAATAACAATAGACATGTGATCAATATCAATAGAAATTTTGTCCAATAGAATTTTAATAATTTCACTGAACTCCCATCCTGAACCGCACAGCATTCTTGGAGATGTGTGCAGAGGAAATGCTTTAGCCTTTCAAACTCTCACAGCCCAGCTAGGCAAGGTTGGTGACATCAACTAACTCACTCCCTCTTAAAAGATCTTATTTTGCCACTATACCTCATAACTGCTTCAATATAAAGAACAAATATAAATAATATGATAAAGAAAAGAATAAAAGGAGAAAATGTGTTCAATAGTTTGAGAGGAAATTGTTGATAAAAGAGGAAGAGTCATGTAACCAGTTTGGTAGAAATAATTAGCCTTTTTTTYTCTCCTGGTCCTCCTAGGTCAAACAAAAGACTAACCATACTGCATAGTAGTAGCAAATGACCCACACACATATCCAAAGCTTCAATGCACCACAAGTCAGAGCTGACCAGAACAGATTTATTGATTAGGTTTAGCCCTTCATCACAGTAAAAAAAAAGTAAAAAAAAAAAAAAAGAAAAGAAAAGAATATGAGGCTACTATGTTGAATAGTTTTTGACTTAAAAGGCAGTTTTGTTAGTCCAGACACCCCCTATTC